CAGGGTGCTCGTGGAGATCGATTCTCCTGCACATGCTGGTGCTGGTTGGCAGTGGGGTGAGTTTTAAAGGGTTTTGGGTTGGAATTGTGTAGTTGAAGGAAGAAAATGAAAGGGTGTCTGGTTTGGGGTGGTAGTCTGTGGTAGTTGCGGATGCTGGTGGTTGAAAGAGAGGTGTAGAAGCTTCTGTAATTGATGGTCTAGGGAAGCTATGCTCGGATGTTCTTGTCTCGTAAAACGCATCGAGCAAAGTGTTATTACACCGAAGGACGCTATATCGGTTGCATCTGAATCGATGTAAATGACACTAGTGTCGAGTTTCTCTTGTATTTGCGAGAAATGCTTGGACATCTTTTTCTAGTCTTTCTAGTCGTCGACAGAGCTTCACGGACGATTAGAACAGTCTCTACCGGCTTCTTTTACACCTACTTTGCTCGCAGAGTGCGTCAACCATCATCTTCGTTCAACTGATAAACCTTCTACTCTCGTTAAGTTTAACCTTCATTAATGGCCAATGTTATTCGTCCTCGTGAAAATCCCACAAAAAGCACATTCAAAATCCCCACCAAACTGACCGCGTCTGGACGCATCATCAACTCGTTTCACGCCGCCGTTGATCTTGTTAATTTACTCAGGGACGGAGTACGGTTACGGGGAGCTGGCTCTCTGCGTTGATCAGCAGCCATGGTCGTCATATTGCGGCGAGCCGAATTGCGGCCAGTTGAATCCCATTAACGAGCACACCTATCGAATACTGGAGGGGCTCTATAGGGAGCTTCTGGACCTGACCGAAATTCGGGACATCGTGCACCTTGGCGGGGACGAGGTGAACTTGGACTGTTGGGCACAGTACGGCAACATCACAGCTGCGATGCAGGCTCAGAACATGACCGATCATCATGCCATGTGGGCCGAATTCGAGACCAAAATGTTGCACAGGTTGATCAAAGCCAATCACGACGAAATGCCGAAAGCTGTGATTTTATGGAGTTCCCCGTTGACCAAGAGGCCTTACATCACCATGTACTTTGATCCAAAAATTCACGTGATCCAGTCTTGGGGCGGTAGCAACTGGCCAGAGACACCGGATCTCCTGGAGGATGGTTTCAGAGTGATCCTTTCACACGTGGACACATGGTACCTGGATTGCGGGTTTGGCAGGTGGAGGGAGTCTGGGGAAGCCGCCTGTGGCGAGTATCGTACCTGGCAAACCGTCTATAATCACCGACCTTGGAGAGACTATCCTCAGCAACATTTGAATCTTATTTTGGGTGGAGAAGCGGCTATCTGGAGCGAGCAGATCGGCGATGCATCCTTGGGACCTCGACTATGGCCCAGGGCGTCTGCTCTCGCTGAGAGATTATGGTGGGTCTCGGTATAGAGTAGAAAGGAATAGAATTTTCTAATTTTTGAAAATTTTTCAATTATACATTGCTAATAAACGATATTTTTTACAGGAGCGATTTGCCAATCAATGGCTATTCCACGGACGAAAGCGTGTACACGAGACTTGCTGCTCACATGGAGCTCCTAACCAGTCGAGGACTAAAAACAGAAGCCATGTGGCCGCAATGGTGTTCCCAGAATCCCGGCAAATGTCTCTGACCGTTCGCTAGCCCGAACATAATCGCCATCGATTGGAATTGTACGCGTGGGTGCGATAGTTGCGCGAAAGGAAGACGTTACACAAAGTGGTTCTATCCACCTCTTTCACTAGAGCACAGTGAGCTTACGAAACGTTGTAACATTCTTACCAAAAGAAGCTCGAGCGTCGTTTTAACCGTAACGAAACCGAGTCTTCCGAGATCACTGATTGTCCGATAACGATTTTTGTAATTCCACGCGTTAGAGCGAAAAGAATCGATCCACGAAGACGTGAATATCACGTGAGAGATGTAGGACGACCCGGTACGGAGTACTCGAGAGCAGAAATCGTCGAAATTGGAGGAAAAAGGATTAAATTCCTCGCAGAAGTCAAGGAGTCAGGTGAAAGGGAGAATCTAGTTGGAAGGTTTACTTACAAGGAAGAAAGGGAAGGAACTTTTCGAGCGTTTCACCGGTTTTTTAGTTTTGCCACACACCGAAGGCACAACGACGCAAATGTTCTTCGGTTCTGTTTTCTCCCTGGTACGAAAAACAAGTAGGCAGAGTATTTGATACTTATGCGAGATGATGTACGACAGAATACAGGAATGTAAATGAACAAGGTCAATTCAGAGACATACAGGTGCGATTTTAATATCGCGCGATGCCTTGTCGTAGCTCGATGCCATACTTTTCGTTCGAAGTGCCTTTCCAATTGTAATTCTACTCGTTGTTGTACGATTTCATGTGTAAACACCATGCGTGTTCCTATTTAGGGGTTTCGAAAGTCGAGACCGTCACATCGTCCTTTCATAGATCCGATATTTAGGACAGCAATTGGATGCATTCTGCATCCGGTCAGTCTAATGGTACCATCTCTGAATGTCTTTTTCGTTCAAAACACCGCCAAATCTTTCGATTTATCACAAGTATCCTCAAAATTATTATTCTGCTATCGAACATGTATTTATTTATTTTCACATCTAACAGAGATTAGAAAATTTATTCGATACGTTCTATGCTGTGTAAAAATATTAGAAATACTAACAGAGTTTCCACATATAAATTATTCCCATTATTACTTCATATTTTAATTTTTCCGTGGACTCGAATGATAAGTTGAGAAACGCTATCTCCGCGAGAATAAATAATACAGATAATTAAAAAAGTACGAAGCATTTCATTGAATAAAGTATCGAAAGGACATTCAAGATGATAAAATTAGAAAAGATAATCCGTACACACGGTAAACGAGCAACAAGACGTTTGACATAGAAAACTATGAATTCTTGCGTCGATTTTCCTCCATCGAAGAATTCCTGTCATCAGGAACCGGAAATACCATTTTTCGTCACACGACACAGCGAAGCGTGGCCGTCAGAAAGAGAAAAATGACGCCAATCCGCGTAGACATTCCTCTTTAAATAGCCAAATATAGATCCTACGTATAACTCGCCACAAAATTAAAAAGAAACGAATCCATGTTCTGAACGAGGAACGTGTGAATAATAAATTACAACGAGGGTGCAAACTTTCAAGGAATTTAATTCTTTGGTAGCACACGCGTACCCCTCGAAGCCAAAGAAACTATAAAGACACTTTGTACGATAATTTATAACAGGAACGAGTGGAGAAATCCTGTTAGATTATATATAAAAGTTTCTTAATACAGAAACCTGTGAGCCATTCAGCAATTCTTAAAGAATTGTCGCGGATCTGTAAAATCGAGCGTCCAATCCGCGCTTCGTGTCTTTTCTAACGAATTGTAAACGCGAGGAGGCGTTCGTCTTGATATTAACGAGACAGCATCTCGTCTAGATGATACAAAAATGGCCTATTGATGGAGAATAGCTGCGGAAATTTGTAAATAACACGATCATCGTATAGGAGGTGACTGGAAAGCGCGTAGATGATGGAAGGAGAGATGAATCGTATGTACTTACTAACAACTTACCGACATCGATGGCTGTAAAGTACAAGTGATTTTAAGCTCGAACCCGTTGGATCCGGAGCGCAAAATCATCCGCTATACTCGTCGCGTCTCGTCGCGAGGCATTTGTTGCGTTTTCGAACGGCTGTAAAGGATTTGTAAGGAATCGAGGTAAACGGTTTAGGATATTGTCTGTAAAATTGTTTTGGTAGAACGTGTTATGGGGTAGTGGTGAGAACGAAGAATGACGCGTGGCATCAACCGCGCGCGGATGATTTCCCGAGTTGATCCACGAAGAAATACAATCTGTTGTAAAGTGTGGTTGGTGTAAGTTTAACATAAAACGAATTTTGAATACACAGGCGGTCGTCGTTCTTGTTTTTTACACCCCGGAGAATTCTTCCTCCTCCATTTTCTCCGTCCAAAAATGTAGCCATGCGAACCTGTCGAAATCAAATTATAATATTTTTCGTAGAAACTTAAGACCAGGTAAAGGAATCCTTTTCTTTTATAATTATCGAACGAACTGTAAGCGTGTGGAGTTTTTAATGATTTTTATTCTGCTTCAGTGGAAGAACTGAAGATGTATTTTATACGTGTATTTTATGGAAGTCTTATTTATTAAATTGTTATTTGATTTCTGTTCATCGCTAAGATAGTGGTTCAATGTCTGAATATACTTCACATCTGGTACAATTTGATGATAGATTGCTCCTTGGTGGTTCTATCAATATTGGTCGAAAACCTCAAGAGACTGTTTGAATCATCGTTCGTTTTGATGGATGGTGTGTGCGATGGAGAATCGATTTGCTTTATTGCATTTATCTCTTAAATTGTATAACGTCATTTGCAATAAGTAATGACATTTGCGTTATCATCCGTTGATAAATGCAATTATTTTTTCAACGAGATATATCATTTTCGATGAGACATACGATGACATTTATGAAAATTATTTCCAAGGATCATTTCCATTTTAATCTTCATTTCTGTCTGTATTTATGCGAATAAATGAAGCATAATGGGAAGAAAAATAATCCATCGCATAAGAATTACGTATTGATTATTCCGAAAGTAGGTTTCCTTGATAATCCAGTAGAAGAGTCGAAGAATCTTGGCTGACTCGTGGTTGACTTTTTCTACTTAAATTCTGTCCCTCCTATAAGTGGTGTGGTATGATAGCATAGCAAGGAGAAGACAAAGGGCGAGGCATGATTGCAAACAACCCCATAGCCATTTAATCCACTAGCTGGTCACTTCAATTCCAGATTTCAGAAGGTTCGCATCGTTATCTCTGTGCTGCTCATCTGTTGTACTCGAAAAATCTGTTTTCCTGTGATATTACGCGAACTTCGAACTCGTTCGTTCAAGTTACCATTAATCGTCGAACTGTTAATAAATTTCGAGGCCCTTTGCCACATTTAGCGTGACGTCGTTCGAAGTGACTTCGATCGAAATCGAACCGGAAGTGGAGGACACGGCAACAAACATGGATCGTTTCTTTATCGAAGAGGAACAGAAATGCATCGGATCGATGAGAGAGTGTAAGTTTCCTGGCGTCACTAAGATCTTCTTTTAATAAAATTCTTAAAATAAATTTTTTTCCCGTACTCGTCAAATAAAATGGAAGAAAAAAGGTAAAACAGAGGAAAAAGATATGCTCCATCTGCGAAGAAGTAGATAAGAAATCTTTTCATCGATTATCTTTTATTAACGTATTTATTTTTAACAAACAGACCAAAACATCACGTCGAAAAACACATTCGACGTGCCATTTCGCCATTGCCCGCCACACTTTGACGGACTACTTTGCTGGCCGTACACCAAGGCCTCCACCACCGCCATTTTACCCTGTCCTCCTGACCTAACATACCAAGCGAACTCCACAACAGACACTTTGGAGTCCGGTGATCGCATTATAGCATTGGCCACGAAGGTTTGTCTTGCAAATGGCCAATGGTACACGAATTCTGAAGACATTCCCTTTAGCAATTACAGTTTATGCGAATTATCCGACGAATTAACCGCTCGTTATCTTATGGAGACCATCGTGGAGTTTGAAATTGGGATGACTCACTCTCGAGACTACGGAAACTTCCAGTCCTTCCTTCTGGCTGTAAGAATTTTGAATTCCAAGATAATTATTTAAAATCATTTATGATAATCTTTATCGTATGAAACAAATTTCTATTCGCGAAGTCTTCGTTGCTAATTTATCTCTGTCACCCCTAGTACTGCTCATGCTATTTCTTAAATTTCCAATATTTTCTAGCAGCAGTATTATAGCTAACCTGGAATCTCTATTTAAAATTGAAATATAAAGTTGCATCTTCGAAATACCTTCTGTTTTTCACCAGAAATGGTTACCCATCGTCAGAATCGTCTCTCAGATCGGCTATTCCACATCCTTCACCATGTTGGTCATCGCGATGATCATTTTCTCCCTGCTCAGGTACTCGTCCACCTATTCTGTCCTCCCGATCTTCGATTCGTCCTTTTAACGATCAATTTCCTCGTTTAGAAAACTCAGGAACCCCAGAAACAGGCTGCACATGCACTTGTTCGCCTCGTTCATAATGAGGGCGTTTATGGCACTGATCAGGGACTGGATATTCGTGGACGGTATTAGACTGGCAGTGGACGTGGTATACGTGGACGAGAAGAACGCTTTTATCAAGCAACGAAACGTAGGCATGTCGAGTATTCGATGAAAAGAGAGGAGAGTCGGTGAAAATCGATGTACAATTAAAGTAATCAGTTCCAGGCCACGATCTGCAAGGCCATCACGAGTGCCTGGCAGTACTTCATCGTTGCTAATTATTCTTGGATCCTGATGGAGGGTTTGTACCTGCATAATCTGGTCGTTTGGGCATTTTGCGCGGATAGTGCAGCGATTAACTTGTACATCTTGATGGGCTGGGGTAAGATTCTATCAGTGAACAATTAATTTAACGGATGGTTACTTGATAGTCATTCGTGGTGTTTCGAAATTATTTCAAAGTCATTCGAAATCATACCAGAATATTTTAAAATGAATTCAAGATTAATTTAATTTGGGATCTTTCTTGTGGTCGTTCCAAAATTCGGTTCATCAACGCTATTATGTTTTTCGAAGGATCTCAATGTGTATAATAATATCGATTTTGTCGATATCGTGTTTTTAATCATTATGAATTATGAATTACGAAAGTAGAGTGTGATTTTTATTTATGTAATCAAGGATTGCCTGTTTTTGTCGTGGTTCCTTGGGTAATAATCCGAGCAACGATCGAAGACACGCTTTGCTGGACAACCCATGACAATCCTTTCGTATTTCTGCTGATAAGGATTCCCATAATGATATCGATTTTGGTAAGCGATTTATGCTTCCATAGAAAATTCGAAATTATAGTCGGTCTGAAAGAAAATCGACTACCAAATCATTAACACTTGTTAATACTACTCGCTTCTATTCGTTAAATAATTAATTTGTTTATCGATAGTTGGTATAAAGAAATCATTTAATACTAACACAAATATTTGACACGTCTAGTTCAACTTTCTGCTGTTTCTCAACATAGTACGAGTCCTGTTCATCAAGTTCAAAACGTCGGTACATTTGCAACGAAAAAAGATGCAGTATAGGTAAATTTCAAGCTTATAATTATTTATTATATATTGTGCTTCAACGTGCTATATATATTCTCTCTTTGTCATCCACAAAATTTGATAAATTAATTTTTCTTATACAGTAGATGGGCAAAATCTACCTTGGTATTGGTACCCCTGTTTGGTGCTCATTATACTCTATTCCTGGGCCTCTCTTATCACAAAGATCATCGTGTGGAACTTGTCTGGCTTTTCTGTGATCAATTTTTCGCCTCCTTTCAAGTATTTCGATTATCCTTCAAATACCTAGAAATATTCCAAATGTGCGAACTTAAAATTGAAGATACTTATTTGCGAAAATACGTCGTTCGTTTAGGGTTCCTTCGTGGCTCTGCTTTACTGTCTGCTAAACATCGAAGTTCGAACAGAAATAAAACGTGCCTGGAGAACCAGATGGTCGAAGAACGCGAATATCTGCATGACCTCGTGTCGAGGATCGAGAAGAAGGAAAACGATTCGTCAGTACAAGCAGTCGAACGATTACGATCATCCCACAGTCACTGGTACCACTCTGAGGAATCTGTTCGTGCTGCAGGTTGATAGAAGATCGAACGATTTTTGGCCAAATGTGCTGGAAATGGAGGCAGGATAAAAATGAGAGTCAAACGAAGAACGATTTTACATTTGCAAATAATCCCAGCTTTTCTGTGTGTTCTCTTCTTTTTTCTAAATCCTCGGTAGATCGATATTATTCTATAATAATTACGTCGATTCTACAATAAAATTGCAATTTTTGCAGTTCACGAGCATTTTACTTGGCCTTGATATTTCTTTGGGTAACGTAGCTTTATAATTATTAATGATTTTTATTACACTGAGAAAAATAGGATTCCTTTTCAACCGATAAGTATGTCTAGAGTTCCTGTGTACCAACAGGCACTGAAATATTGATCACATTGTTCCTGAAGCCACCCTGTTTGTGCTGCACCCTTGCGTTCACTGATCTTCCCTTCGTTGCATTTAAAAGTATCCTTTTCTATCGTACATAGCACTTATTTATTTATTTATTTTAAATACTTTGTTCAATTCTTATTGTAAACACCACTTATATTTCACCCCTTGATCATCCTTTAATTATCAGGAAGAAAAATAATTCCATGTGTACAAGGAAACCAAATTGAATTTTCTTTAAATTTCTTAAAAAATTCATCCACTGACACATCGTGACAATTTAATTCTCACACTTTTATTTACCCCTTTCTAATCACCACTTTCACTCTTTCAGTTCCCTTTAGTCCATGTTTGCGGTTCTTCAAATCACTTTGTCCACTATACAAAGCGTACCAGATAAATATACATGTCTGTAGTGCATCTGACAAAGAAGAAACCGAGGGAAGCCACACCGACTCGTTTTTTAAAATTCGCTCTTGCAAAAGTCGCGTGGCCGAATCGCGTGCTGGAAGGGGTGAAAAGAGGCGTCGAAAAGGCAGGGGTTGGGTAACGAAGTGTGAACTATCTCATGACACCCGCGACCAGAAGAAACATTAATCGAGAATCGGTCGATTAAAGTGCGGTTCGCCTCATCTCGTCTCTCGTTACGAGGACGTAATCTGCGACACGTGTTGCGTAACGTGTATATTATATCATCGTGTGAATGTGATTATTCGCAGCGGTATTGTACCCTTTAGCACCCACCCCTTGTAATTTGTCGCAACAATTTGCGTAATTGCAATATTCGGACCTCGGATGCGGAGAAATCATCCCTTGGAATTAAAAAGCTACCAGTGAAAGCAATTTTCTTTTCAACAACTCTTTCAAGCGAAGCTTAATTTACAGAAGACTATCAAAGAAGGCAACAATGATGGGAATTTTTGTATGCAAAAATCTTCAGAAAATCTCATCGCATTTACTATAATAATCCACCTTCTTCCTATTACTTTAATCATATTTCGAATAATTATTTTATTACTCTGCGCTTACAAAATTCGTACAGTCTTCCAAAGTATCGTATAAAATATTCTCGACTCCTGTTCTCAACCCCTTTCCAATCAAATTGCTACCAATTACCAAAAATTCGTGTACCCTTCTTATCGCGTGGTTTCCACCCCGAACAAAACCGAACACCTTGCTCGAACTCCAAATCGACTCTCTCTCTCTCTCTCTTCCAAACTTGCGTAAGAAGGAAGAGAGAAAATGAGGGAAAAAGGACAAGAACACAGGAACGACTATCGACGCTTATCAGACAATCACTATGCCAAATCTCTCTGTGAAAGTCCTCCGATCAGAGTCGCAGAAGCTAAGCATGATCGATAAAATGGTCCACCCATTCGCAACCACGAGAGGAAGAATTGCATGGTCCGCAGCAGCGACGCAATGGCGGCCACTTTGGGGCGGTCTCACCCCCTGTGTCTCGCGATTCCATTGGATAAGCAGGGGGATGCTGCAGGAGAGAGACGAACGGGCAGAGAACGAGGGATGAACGACGAGGGGATGTTTTCAGGGGCGTGGTTTTAACTACGACGAGGTGATCCTCGAAACCGGTCCTCAGGGTGCATCCTGGCCACGCGACAACCGGAGATCTTATCAGAGACGACTTTGATCTCGTGGAGTAATCGTGTTCGACTGGTTCGCGAGGTGAAAGGTACCTTCCACTGGATATTTTTGCAAAAAAAAAATTGCGGAGTTTTTTGATAAGGGTTGAAGATGCTGTGTGATGTGCTCAAAGTATAAAGACTGTCTCGTTATCTTGCGAGTGATGGTGTTTTGCTAACATCGAATAACACTGATGTAAGTTTTGAAATTCCAGCAGATAGAAGTTATTTTATCGAGGAATATATTGGAAATATTTTTCTAAATTTATGTGGATGTTGCTTCGATGTGCCATTGGAGTGTGTTCATTCAGTGCTTTATTTTTGGGAAATATATTCTTAAAGATAGTTTAAATAATATACTGGAGTAGAATGAAAGTGTCTCTGTTTGCTCTTTTTACTGAACACACGTGGTATACGCATGATCCAATTGGATCAATGATAATTGTAAAAAGTAAAATATTTTTCCAGGAAAAAGAATTTATTAAAACAAGAAGAAATGGACCGTTCGAAGAATTTGGAAGACTCCTTAAATATGAGGGTGGAAGTTGGACAATGATTTTCTGGTGAGTTGCCGAATTTTATTTTACCTCTTTTCTTTATTTTTCCTCGTCCGTCTAAGAGCAATCTTTATTATGAGAAATAAAGTACGTCGAAGAATTACGAATTAAATTTCGCACCTGGCCATCGAATGTGAAATTCGCAGGAAAGGAGATCGGAGGAAGAAATTTCGCTTTTATTTCGGCAATAAAAGTGGAACGACGTCGAAATCTGGCGATTTTTCTGAAATATTAAAAGAACCGCGAGAAGATGTCCATACGAATCGCCGGTTTACCATAAGAATCAGATCGAACGAGGTCGAGGGTTGTTTCGTGGTTAATAATTAAAGAGGGGTGGGTTGTGTCCCGTGCAGAGGAGGCAAATTTTTCTGAATAATAGAATGCCACCTTTCGTCGATTTCCATCGAATTGCTCGAATTTAAGAGTCCCTTGAGCATTCGAACTACCCTTTTTTCGCACCACTCTCTTTACCTTTGGTTTTACTCGTTTATTCTTCTATACTACTTCCTTTCCCGCTGGAATAATTTCGTTAAATTTCGCGTTAAATTTAACATTCGATTTTATGTCAACGTGTTAAACAAAAGACAGAAAATTTTTGTTGTTACATAAGTATAATAAATATCGTATAATACAGAAAATTCTATAAAAGATTACGAGTCAAAGATGCTCGTAAGAATCAACCCTTTCCGCAACTGTAATTTGATTTCACGCACGTGTCGAATATACGTATAGCAAATATTTGACTAGCTTATTATTTTCTCCTGGAAAAAGCCCTTTGCTCGAAATTTGCTCGTTCCCTCGAGACTCGATTTCATGTGGAAGGGTGATAACTCGAAATATCATCGAACCGCCGAAACTGGCGAATTATTCTTTAATCTGTGTTTCATATTACGTCTTATTTTTTAATACCACGGTTTTTTGATACCACACCTGGACAAATGGTAATTTAAATTGCAGGATCGAAGCATGAAGATGGACGCTCCATTCTCAACTGCGTTTTTCCACAATTCGTGTCTCTATTCGCGACGAATTTGAGTAAATTTGTGTTAAAAAAGTAGGGGAGAAAGGAGGATTATCTTTGCATTGAGAATTCCTATTGATCGACGACAAAATGGCGAACGGTGGCCACGGGGTGGTCGTGAACGGGGTT